AAACCCCCCCGCGGCGCTCGCCCCGCAGCCAGGCCGCTGTGCCTGGCCTTCAGTCCACCTCCTGTTTGCCAAGGAGGGAATTTCCCCATCTAAATTTGCACCCTGAATGCTCATGCGAAGCTTTGCAATCCACCCCGGCCTGCACTGCCGGCCTGCAATATGTCGCCCCCTCGGCCCGGCCAACCCCGGGCACTGCGTTCCTGCAGGACGTTGACATTTCTCATGCCTTCTCCCTTCCCTGCTGCTAGCAGGGCGCTTTGCACGGCCCTGAGCGCGTTGGATGCAACCCGAGTCTGGTGCAAACCCCTGGCGGCTGCACCAGCACCCATGGGTGCACGTGGGTGCCCAGCTTCGCACCATGCGCTGCAAGGAGGCGAGTTTGCACCGGGGCCGGGCTGCCCCTTGGGGTGAGGAGGAAGAGGACGGACCGGGCTCCCACCCCAGCGGCTCTGCTTTTGCACGGAGCGAGCAGGGACGGGATCCCAGTCCCAGTAGGAGCAGGCAGGGGCCAGCTAGAGCGGAGCTGAGCGCCAGGTCCCGCGGGCATGAGGGCGCAGGAGGAAACCACACGCGAAGCCTTTGCTCTGCCGCGGAGCATGTTAAAAACTTGTTTCTTTCTCTTTTTTTAGAGAGCCTAAAGGTCAGGTCCTAAAGCGCCCAGCATTAAGGCCGAGCGCGGTTGTAGCAGCCGCCGTGTGCCGGGGACGCACGGTCTCGCCCCAAGGCGCCCGGAAGGTTTGCGGTCGGTCGCCCAACACAGGCTCTGGCACACGGTTCCCCCCGGCCCCTTCCCTGCATCCAGGCCGGGATGCGGGGGAGCAGCAGCCTTGCTTGCAGGTGCCCCCGGGAGAGCCGGGCCCTGCGTGCTTGCCGCGCTCCCCGCCAGCCTCCGCGCGCCCTTCTGCAGCCCATCGGTCGCTTTTCCTTCGGCTCTGGCACAACGGCCCAAGCGGTGCCGGATCAGCATCCTGCTACCCGTCCTGAGCATCCAGCTGGTTTGGAGCCCCCAGCCCCGGGGCATTGCCCTGCCTGTGTCCCTTGGATGCCCACTCGGGCAAGGTGGCTTTGTCTCAGCGAGGCCTGAAGCAGCTTTGTTGCTAAATTTGGGCAGATTTTGTGAAAGCAGCTCTTTCCTTGGCCACTTTTTTGGGGCATTTGGAGAAATTCACCATCCTGAGCCACCACACTCTTCTCCCACCCGGAGCCCTGGCCTTGGGGACGTTTTGGCCATCTTGTCCCCACTTGTCCCCTGTGGCGCTGCCACCTTCCTGGGCACCAGTGGGGCTTCAGGCTCCTGCACTGGCCACCTTCGCCAATCCCATCCCAACCACTGCCGTCTGCTCCACACTGCCCGCTGCCGACCCCCGGCGAGGCCGGGTGTCCTTCCCAGCAGGGCACAGCCCGCAGGAAGGCAGGAGATGGGGGACAAGCTGGGGAGAGGGGTGGCACAGGGTTGGGGGGCCCAGAGAGCCAGGAGAAGCCGGGAGGAGGGTGGGATGCGGCGCCGGGTGCTCTGCCCCCGTTTACCTGCCCCGGGGCATTTCTCCGCAGAAAGAACGGTTCGTGAAGCTCCTCGACCAGCTGCACAATTCCCTGCGGATTGACCTCTCCATGTACCGGGTAAGCACCCTCCGTGCCTCGGTTTCCCCACTTGCCTAAGGAAGAGGTGGTTGCGTTCTCCTGCCGGGAGAGCCGAGTGGTTTTCCTGGGTTTTGCTCCATGTGCAACTACTTTTCCTCTCCCTTTTGCAGAACAACTTCCCTGCCAGCAGCCCTGAGCGGCTTCAAGACCTCAAATCCACAGTGGATTTGCTGACCAGCATCACCTTCTTCCGCATGAAGGTATCGCCCTCGCTGGGGACCTGGGCAGTAGCCACAGTGATGCCCTTGATGGTGCCGCTCCGGCTGGACCCCCGGGGCCTCGGCCGCGCTGGTGGCTCTGTCCCCAGCGGTGGCCGATGTGGTTGACTCCACGTCTCGCTCCGTGTGCAGGTCCAGGAGCTGCAGAGCCCTCCACGGGCCAGCCAGGTGGTGAAGGACTGCGTGAAGGCCTGTCTCAACTCCACCTACGAGTACATCTTCAACAACTGTCACGAGCTCTACAGTCGCGAGTACCAGACGGACCCGGTGAGCAAGGAGAGCCGGGAGCCCCCGGCCTCACACCTGCGGCCACCCTTGGGCACTGGGGCCAGCGTGGAGCCCCTGGATGCTCCCACATGCCCAGTGTGGAGGTGACCAGAGCGTGCCGTGTTCCCCATTCAGAGCAAGAAGGGTGAGGTGCCCCCTGAGGAGCAGGGCCCCAGCATCAAGAACCTGGATTTCTGGTCCAAACTCATCACACTGATAGTTTCCATCATCGAGGAGGACAAGAATTCCTACACACCCTGCCTGAACCAGTGCGTAGCCGTGGGGAGCGGGCGTTGCGGGCAAGGGGCGATGGGGGGACACACCATGTGGGCCGCTCACAAGCCACCAGAACCCCTTTCTGGACACAACAGGCAAAAGGGTGTCACCAAGTGTTTCCTGAGCTCCATGCACCAGCCCCAGCAGCTGGGGGACAGGCTGGGGACAGCCCAGACACAGCCACGGGTGACACAGGGCCCCACTGTGGTGTGGCCCTGGCCATGGAGGCTGCTTCTCGGTGTGCGGTCCCCCCGCGAGCGCCCTGTCCCCTCGTCCCCAGGTTCCCACAGGAGCTGAACGTGGGCAAGATCAGTGCCGAGGTGATGTGGAACCTCTTCGCCCAGGACATGAAGTACGCGATGGAGGGTGAGTGCCCCCAGGCGCCGCGGGGCAGCACCGAGGCTGCGGGACACGGTGTGGGGCTCCCCATCGCCTCCAGCAGCATCGCGATGAGCTCAAATCCCTCCCTACAAACACCCACGGCCCAAGCTGGCCCTTTGTCACCTCGGCACCCCCAGAGCCACCGCGGGGCCCTGGCGAGGCTCCCACGCCGCTGCCCCGTGGGACACGGGTGGGCTCGATGTGGCCCATCCCCACGGCGCTGTCGCCTTCCCACGCAGAGCACGACAAGCACCGTCTGTGCAAGAGCGCCGACTACATGAACCTGCACTTCAAGGTGAAGTGGCTCTACAACGAGTACGTCACTGAGCTGCCCTCCTTCAAGAGCCGCGTGCCCGAGTACCCCGCGTAAGTGGTCGCCTCCGCGGGGAGCTGCCCGGCTGTGCCGCGTGTCCCCGGAGCTGCCGCCCTCACCAGGCATGCGCCCCTCTCGCAGCTGGTTTGAGCCCTTCGTGATCCAGTGGCTGGATGAGAACGAGGAGGTGTCGCGGGATTTCCTGCACGGAGCGCTGGAGCGGGACAAGAAGGACGGGGTAGGAAGGGAGATGGCCTTGGATGGAGCTCAGTCAAGGGGACTGCAGTGGCCACCCGAGGTGGGTGCCGGGGGATTGTCCCCTTGGACGAGGGAGGCTCACGGTCCCCATCCCCACTGCAGTTCCAGCAGACATCGGAGCATGCCCTCTTCTCCTGCTCCGTCGTGGACGTCTTCTCCCAGCTCAACCAGAGCTTTGAGATCATCAAGAAGCTCGAGTGTCCCGACCCGCAGATCGTGGGGCACTACATGCGCCGCTTTGCCAAGGTGGGGTCCTGCCTCTGCCCACGTGGCTCCCAGCGCATCCCAGCGGATCCCAGCGCTGGGTTCCTTCCCTGCCGCGAGACTCCCT